ATATTTCAGTCAGACACTCTATGCACCATATTGAAAATTAAAGATATACCAATTCAAGTTTGGTTTGAGGGGATATATTGAGCATAATGTGTATCACCAAAGATATGATTTTATGCTTCTACAATGTGTAATGTAGGGGAGGATAGTCAAAGAAGATTCTGTTAGAAAGAGATCAAGTGATAAATTAGACGAAGAAATCTCCACACTTATAGAAGCGTTGTAATAGCGTAGGACATTTAATTTCCCCATCCCCGAAGCGTTGTAATAACGTAGGATATTTAATTTCCACAATTTACTGATTTCCTTATTTCTGTTAGTTTAATGGGATTGTATGGAAAGATCCAAAACAAAATGCTAGATAACCATAAATCCAAGATAAATTAATTGAAATCAAAACACTTCGCACACGCACACCTCTAGGGTGACCCTCACTTGTTGCCTCAAATTTTAATAGTCATGTTCCTCGAACGTGGTACACTTTAGCAAAGACCCTAGGTTAAAATATTATAGTCTCTCGATGACCATTTGATGCTGCCTTCGGTAAATGATTTTAGTCCCTTACGAAAATTTCTAGAGTCCTACAAGTTGCCTTCTATGACTGTACGATGACCCGCGCCTGTCTCTGACATCCAACTACAGAGCTTCCTACTAACTAATGGTAGGGTAACACCATCTAAAAGAGGAGGAAAAGAACAAAGACTTTTTTTAAGTAGGTAGATCGCTCGTAATTGCTTGCTCACAAACTAAAACAATTTTCACACCTCACACTTTCCAAAACAACATTTTCTTATAAATATTTTCAAAAATAAACATTTTGTATACATTCTCAACGATACGAGAATCATTACAAAATTGTCATACTTAGGCATTTTCAAAATATTTTCAAACCTACACAAATACAAAGCGTTTTCAAAAAGTGAGCTAGCGATTAAGGGCCCGTAGATGACTACAGATGAAAAGGGTGCTAACACCTTCCCTTTTCATAACCTACCCCTCGAACTCAGAAAATTCTCAAAGGTCTTTCTTGTTCTTTTCACCCTTTCCTTTATTGGAAAAAAGAAAAGTCGATGGCGACTCTTACTATCCTCAACATTTGCGATAAAACGCAAAACTAAAAGTTAGTTCTCCCACCGTATTACACATTTGCTAAGTTTGATTCCTGTTATACGTGGGACAGGCTAGCAGTAACCTCTTGAACCTCTTGTAAGCATCACCTAGTGACTCTCATTCTTTCTGCTTAAAATTCACAATTTCATATCTTTTGTGAATGTAAACAGAAACGGGGAAGTATTTATCAAGAAAGGTCTTCTCCATATGTTCCCAAGTGGTGATACTTCCAGCAAGCAATGAGTAAAACCACTCTTCAGACATCATGAAAGGAAAAATTCTCAATTTCTTTGGCTCTTCAGAGTGCCCCTCAATTTTCAAAGTAGTGCTCATGGTGAGGAATCTCTGCAAGTGTTTGTTGGCATCTTCATTGATCCTTCCGGCGAAAGATCTATTCTCAAGCCATCAGATTGTTGAAGGGTGCAGCTGGAAATTTATAATAGTAACCGGTTCATTCACAATAGTCAACCGACCTGCTGGAGCATTTGCTCCTCCGTAATCCCCAAGAAGTCTCACTGGTGGTGGTGGGTTTTCACCCATAGTTTCAGGCTCTGGTTCTGAACCTGAGTCTGTATATCAAAAGGATATTCAGCTGAGGGCTTTCCTCGCATGTAAAGGTTTGAAAAAAAATCAGTAATAACAAAAAAAAAATATAAAAATTACAGAAAAGAAAATTTTAGTTGCAGAGCAGCAAAATTTTAATTGAACTCAAATAACACTCAATAACTCGGCAGTCCCCGACAACGGTGCCAAAAACTTGATGGGAAAAATAACAAGTGTACTATTTTTGCCTCTTGTAATAATAGGGAGATTCCTCGAATGTCGATCTCAAGGGCTGCGTGTAATTATTTAGTTAAATTTATAGTGCAATTAAACAAAACTTGATATGAGTTTTGGTTTTGATATTGTCACTTAACAAGTAGCAGAAATATAAAATAGTTTTTTCACAGATATGAGGATCATGCTAGGGTAAGGTGTATAATTTGCTCTGTAACTATCTTGAATCCTGATCTCTTCAACAAATTCATATCCTTCAATTAGCAGCCTTTTAGGTTATCTTCCCCTAAGTCCTTAGTGGGAAAACCTTTGAACCTTCACCCTAAATTCTAAGTCCTTAGAGAATTATGATGAAACCAAGTCTTTGTTTTATTAAGAGTTAACTGGTAACTATAGGGTATCCCTAGTCCAAGTTGATATCTACTATAGCCTAATCGTACAAAAAGCTTAACAATCGCGGTCCAACTGATTGTTAACCATAAATCAATCCTAATTGGTCCGACCAGGAAAGCATGAAAATGTTGCACGATTAAATTGAATAGAGAAGACTATTGTATTAAAGAAATTCAAGAATCAAAATTTACATAGTCAAACCAGGGACACCCCTTAGCATTGGGCGATTTAGCTACTCATATTGTTCAAAATAATCACAAGATAAAGATTAGACATTACAAGTAATTGGATAACTTCGATCTTCAATTGCTTCCGCTCATGAGAATCTTTCGCTCTCTAAAAACCTTGATCTCTCCAATCTTTAATCGTGTAAAAAATTCTTTGCTTAAAAAAAAGTCTCTTTTCTTCTTCTTAGGAACAAACCTAAGTAGTATCAGGTCATCACCCAGCAGTGCAAAAAGTCCAAAATACCCTTAATGATCCAAGACCACATCAAACTCCAAAATTCAGAATTATTATTACGCCTGCCAACACGGGCCGTGTCAGGTGACACGGGCACTCGTGTTGGCCCTATGTCTTTTTCATTTAAGTTACCAAGTATAAGACTTGCTGATACGTGCCTCTCAGGTGACACGGACACCCGTGTCACACCCCTGACTTCTCTTATTTTTAGCTTCGTCCTGGCTATCATCCTGACACGGTCTATGTCAGGTGACAGGAGTGACCATGTCAGGCCTCCTTTAGGTGGATATTTGCATTTTTTTTTCCGAAACTCTGAGATTTGTACTGATTTATCCCAATTTAATCTTTTAAACCTGAAAACAACAAACTACACAATCAACACATAAAACATTTTAAAAAATGATATAAAATACTTGACAAAATGAAGAAACGATAACTAAAAATGTTCATGTACAATAAATAATTCTAATCTTTACGTCTTTTTAAAATCAATTTTTTACGTCTTTTTAAAATCAATTTTTTACTTTCAATATACATACTGTATCAAACAAGTTTATGTAATATATAATGCTTATGATTTCAGTATAAATGGATATTGTTTTCACTCTGCTTTCCCAAGAGAATGCATATGCATCATATGTATAGATTTTAAATCAAATTAAAATTAAAGGCCTTCAGATTTTACAATGCTTCGTGATACTGTATTTGTCTGAATGATTTCAAAATTAAGTATGAGTATGCCAAAACATGTTTTATTAAAGTTTATGATTATAAAATTATGTGATTGATTTATGATTAAGATTATATGTGAATAACATGTGTGTTTAATGAGATTTATTATAAGACATGTAAAGATAATTTAAAGATGGATAATAATTTATATAAACTTTTAAATTTGAATTATAATGTAATTATTAAATTCTAAGATATGAAATTTTGATAATCTTATTAGGGAGGATAAAGAATTTGATATTTCCCAAATAAAAAATTTTGTGAAGAAGGTTTCCTACGAATTGTTGAAACATAAATTAAAAATTTATTATAAATTGTTGAAAAATAATCTGAATTTGGGATGAGCAAGAAAGACAAAAATATATCATTGAAGTTACCGTAGATCTCACATTCCAACCGCATTCGAGAAAGGTAAACAAATATCTGAAAAAGTGAAAGATGATCCGAAGACTATTGTAGCATTGCACTCATGTTACCTTATGTTGCATATCCAATTTTCGTACTTGACATTTTATATTTTGGAAACATAATTGTAGTAACTTATGTATATTATCATACTTATGTCTGATCGATGTATTGATATATCAATACTAATAATTGATGTTCTAATTAAGATATATTCTATACATTATCATGTTGGGATATATGATAACAGATATGCTATTCTGGCACCCAAAATATACACGAAGTGTTTACATCAAATACTATCGACTGTATTTATACGGTGAATAATATTTAAAAAAAAAAGAGTTAATATTTATGAATAGTGACTTGAATAATAATGTGAATAGTACTAGTGAATAATATTCGTAAATAATATATGAATAATGACGTTTAATAGTAAAATAAAGTTAGTTAATGAAATATAAAAAGTTGATTAATAAAGTGATGAAGTTGATTAATAAATACTAGTTAGATATTAAAATAAAAATTTAATAGTAAAATATAATTGGTTAAAGTTGATTAATAAAATATAAAAAGTTAATTAATGAAGTGATGGAGTTGGTTAACAGTGTTTAAATATTAAAATAATTTTTAATAATAAAACAAAATTAGTTAATTAAACATAAAATATTGATTAATAAAATTATAAAATTGATTAATTATATAATTTTATATTGATATCTTATGATCCAAAAAAACGATAAAACAAATAAAATTTTAAAAAATTATTTAAAAAAAATATTTTATCTGATTGTATTGGTGAATAGTGAAATATAATGAAATATGGTATGGAGTATTATCATTTGAGTGTAGGGCTATCATTTCTCATTAAAATAAGACTGTTAAACTTTTGTTTTATTTACAAAAAGCATCTTTTCCCTTTGTATTATTCTACAAGTATACTATGATTAGAACACGGAACAACCTCAAACATTATTTGAGCACATAATGGTCCTATCCTTCCAAAGTCAAATATAAATCATTTCTTTAGGAACACACTCCCTCCAATTTCAAATACTTATGAAGGTTAACCTCTCTCTGGTCCCATATATCAAAAAAGAAGAAGAAGAAGCAAAGTAGCAATCATGATCAAAAGGTGGCGAAACCATTTGAAGAAGAAGAAAATGAACAACAACAACAAAAGAAGCATATCAAACAAATGGAAACAACTCAGCGGCGAAAACAAATGGAAAGGACTATTAGACCCTCTTGACATCGACCTACGACGTTACATTATCCACTACGGTGAAATGGCACAAGCAACATACGATGCTTTCAACACAGAAAAAGCATCAAAGTTTGCTGGTTGTTGTAGGTACGCAAAGAATGATTTCTTCTCCAAAGTTTTTCTCCAAAATGGAAATCCTTTCAAGTATTCCGTGACAAAGTTCATCTATGCAACTTCCGAAATCGATGTTCCGGAAGCGTTCATCGTGAAGTCTTTTTCTAGGGAGGTTTGGAGTAAGGAATCAAATTGGATTGCGTATGTTGCTGTGGCGAATGATGAAGGGAAAGATGTGTTGGGGAGAAGAGATATTGTGGTTGCTTGGAGAGGAACGGTTAGGAGTTTGGAATGGGTTAATGATCTTGGGTGTGTTTTGGTTCCTGCTCCTAAAGTGTTTGGTTATGACAACGTTGTCGATCCTAAAGTTCATGACGGTTGGTATTCTATTTATACTTCTGAAGATCCAAGATCTCCATTCAATAAGACTAGTGCTAGAGACCAGGTAAAAAATTTTCGTGTTATTAGTATTCATTTTGTTAGTGAATTATGCAAATATGTGATTTTTGCGCATTTCATAAACCATTATGATGCCAATCTTAGATTGTTACTTTGTTTAATTGATGTTTATAATTAGTTATTGATATGTACAGGTCTTAAGTGAGGTAAGAAGGTTAGTGGAAATATACAAGAATGAAGAAACAAGCATAACAATAACTGGCCATAGTTTAGGATCTGCAATCGCAACTCTAAACGCAGTGGACATTGTTACAAATGGATACAATAAACCAAATGACCCATCTCTCAAGACATCACCAGTTACAGCCATAATATTCGCAAGTCCAAAAGTCGGTGACGTAAATTTTCAGAAAGTTTTCTCAAGTTACAAAGATCTCTCAGCATTACGCATTAGCAACGAGTTTGATATTGTACCAAACTACCCTTTTATCGGATATTCAGATGTTGGTGAAGAGTTGAAAATTGACACAACAAAATCTATGTATTTGAAGAGTCCGGGGAATCCATTTACTTGGCATAATTTGGAAGCTTATTTGCATGGTGTAGCAGGAACACAAGGGTGTAAAAGAGATTTCAAACTTGAGGTTAATCGTGATATTGCACTTGTGAATAAAACATTGGATGCTTTGGAAGATGAGTATCATGTACCAGTGTCATGGAGGGTTGTGGAGAATAAGGGTATGGTTCAACAATTGGATGGTTCTTGGAAGCTTATGGATCATGAGGATAATGATGACTTTTAGTTGATTGTTTATATGATTGAGAAGTTATTCCTTCTCGTTGTGAGGATTGTTTTATTTTTTATTTTTTATTTTTATTTTATAGTTTGAGGTTGTTGTCATTTTGTGATGTCTTGCGTGTATAAATTATTTTAGATAAATTCTATCTTAAGACAATTATTTGTTTTCAAAGAGGTTGACTTATAAGTATGGAAGTGTAAAAACTAAGGAAACAAAACCTGTTGGGATGATAAGTACTACTATATTTTTAGATTTATGTATTTATGATTTATTTACGAAAAATGATCTTTGATTTAAGACCCATTTGGTTTGGTGTGGTGGTGATAGATTGTAGCTAAAACTAAAAATGCAGATCTAGATTGATAAGGAAAAATGCATAAAAATAAAATCTAGAATTTTCATTAATCTTTTGCTAGGGGCAACAATACCAATTAAATACACAAGGTTTTCTAAACATAATAGGTCATAGTCATTTTTGGAAAAACAACATAAACTAGAATAATAAAGTAGAAGTTGTTGGTGCACCCCCCTTTAATATTGAATATGATATGGGCCTCAAGGCAATTGGGGTTTTTTCATTCTCTTTTGGGCCTATGACAGTGGCCTTATAACAATACTTATGCGCCTAATAAAAGATGATATCACTCCATGATTTTTTTACGCACTACGAGAAATTTTTTAAATGTCTCTAAAAAATCAGAAGTATATTTTCGGTGTGCACCAAAATTTGATAAACTATACATTAATATCGGAATTTAATTTCCTATTTTGATCCGGAGAAGTAATTATGATTTTGTGCTACACAGAAACCAGAAAAACATCATTGAATAACACCAATATCACGAACTCAAAATACAATTCATAACATAGACATAGGAAACAAATTAAGGATTTTAACATAAATCAACCATTACAAATCAACGTCCACGTGGACGTTGCAACATCATGATAATATCATCGACCGATCTTGAAATACTCACATCTAGCTCGATCAAAACTTTCTCCTCAAAAATGGTAAAAGTATTCCACATAGCTTGTATATCAGCGTCGTTCTTGTCTGTGAAAGTATACTTCCGGTTATATACGAAATGACAAGGTGGCAGAAAAAATCAATCTTCCCGCTCTAAAAACCGGAAACATAATACAGGTACAGAACCAGAAGTATATCTTTGGTTTTGTTTTTTACATTTTGAAGGGTGAAACCACATTTGGTCTGTTTTTGTAAAAATATGGTGTGAACCAGAAATGTATTTCCAGTTTGCGAGGGACAATTTCGGAATTACAAATAGTCTTTCTTTTGGACACGAGGTGTAATAAGAAATTTCCTAATAAAATACTTGTCCTCAATATTCATCTTCATAGTTCCATGTGGAGGTTTGATATTGACGAATGTGAACTGTTTGATTTTGATTTTTTTAAATGGGTAGAATTTTTTTACTGCTGGATTTTATGAGAAAAATATTATTTTGGTGAGATTTCATGAGAGTGGTGATCCAATAGATGTGAAGGATTTGGGGAAAAGGTTGACCAATTGAGTGGTTAAGAGGAGTTTGGTGGAATAAAGTTAGATTGATGGGTTTGAATCTGACATATGTTGGGGTCGATTGGAGGGTGAGATACATGTTGTGGGGCTAGTGTGGGGAGGGAGGAAAAGTTTGAAATTATAAACTTTAAGGGTAGGGATTAGAAGGTGGGGGGAGTAACTGAATTTGGAGTGTTTAGATTGGTTGGACAAAAAAGAAGGCAAGATTATAGTGGGGCAGGAAGGGACCCATGCGTCATGTTAGCGATAAACTGTATAACCTGTCATGGCGGAGAGAAGGGGCTAACGTGTCTCAATCAAGCTATATTAAGGGGAAATGTTCGGAAGCGTTAGATGCTCATTGGACTTCCTAATTCCTCCATAAAAGACTTGTTCGAGCTTAGCGTGTGACAACCCATAGTTTGGTTGTTAGTTACACGCGCGAAAGCACCTAGACATTCTTTTGTATTTTTGTTAATATTTTTTGCAAAGTGGTATTGTCGTACCCCAATTTTCCCCCTAAGATCTATAACGAACTTCTTTGGAGATTCTTCAACCTCTCTGCACAAGCTTCATCTGGATTTTCTCTACAACAAACAACTATATTCTATGCAAGATCTTCATCACCGTTCTCTGGATCTAAAAACCACAAAATCTCAGAACTCTTGAAATCTCTGAGCATCTTCAACCTCTTCTCTCTCTCTCTGTGTGTCATCTTCAACACCGTGAGAACAGATCCAAACACCTTTATCGTCATCATCTTGCACCTTCAACCTTCTATTTATGAATCAACGCTTCATCATCATCTTTACAACTTGCTTTAAATCGTCATCACCTTCATTGTGTCATCATCATCTATGTTAATGCGCAACAACGTAAAACATGCTGAAAAGGAGAATTTGGAGTAGAAGAAGGAAGCGTCACACAAATTCAGAATTAAGAGAAGCACACCTGAATTGAGTTCCATACCTCTCTGCCGTCGAAGTCACGTTGTACGAATTCAGATCGGTAAGTCTTCGAAACTTCGTGCCCTTACGATCTCTGTCTTATTCGATTCAAACAAGGTTGAGATTAGAAGGGAATGAAGAAGAGAAGAACAACATGGGGTTTAAGAGGCAATGACGGGAGTTTGATACAGAATGGAATCAGAGTGAAATTCGTACGGCGCTGCTGAGATTTTTTTTCGGTTCGGAGAATACGCTGAATCGATGGAGACAAAGGGTCATAACAGTAAAACCCTAATTCCCTTTCCAAATTACACCGTTCTCGTTTAATTTTCATTTATTTTGTTAATTTGTTTTTTTATAAAGAATAACAATAACTGAATCAAATGCTTATAGAGTTTAGGTTATATGGACTTTGAATTAATATTATGGATTGAATTACTCCCTCCTAGGCCCGTTTTTGGAAGCTGAATATTGAACCAAGAAATTTGGCTCATGGACCTTAGAGATAACGGGCCTAGTGCCCGTTTACTATATCACACACCTAATCCTGACTTCACCCCTCTGTTTAGACTTCCACTTTAATTTTTCTTGTATCTCTCTTTTGCTATTGAAATAATGTTGAAAATTAGTGACAAGATGATAAAAAAGGTAGGAAAGTTTAGAATTCTTGTATATTTTTAATAAATTTTTCTATTATCTTTTTTTATGTTTTCTAATTATTTGGTTGCCATTTTAGATAAAATTTTATGATAGTATTGAGATAATCTTTTGTGATATCAGATGTTTGAAGATTTATTTGTTTGATCACTTGTGCGGAGCAGTTTCTGTAGAGTTTTCTCTTTGCTTGCGTGGCTTTGAAGAGGAAACATACTTTCTCTGTTAGCTCGCGCGAAGTATCTCGGATCTCTTTACTTTGGTTTCATTATTTTTGCGGACGTCATTGGTCGTTTGGTATTATATTGCTTCCAAATTATATTTCCGTATTTATTGCTTTCTAGATATCATGAGAAGTAGGAAATAAAGAGCATGCGCTCGAAGTCGCTGTTTAAAGACCTGTAGCAGGCATTCCGCACTCCATTTCTGTTATGTGTTGTGCTTGTGTTTTCTTCCTTTCTTGTTGATCGATGAGTCACTCAATTTAGCAACTGAGATCACGACTTCGCTCTTAGTGCATGCTCCCTATAGGATTTTATTGCTCTCCTTTATTTCTTGTTGATCGATGAGTCACTCAATTTAGAAATTGAGATCACGACTTCGCTCTCAGTGCATGTTCCCTATAGGATAGTTTGTTAGACTTTATTTGGCATGCTAACTTAGATAATATCCCTCAGTCTATGATAACATTAAGTTAGAAATAGGTTAGTCTCCCTTGGAGGTTTTCTTCCCATTTTTTGCATAATTGCACTTAAAACTAAAACTTCTTTTTTCTTGGAAAATGTATAAAAATGCTAATCATACAAAAATTCTTTTCATGGTAAAAAATACCAACCAATCCATTTCTTTTCGCCATTCGGATTTTCTCTTCTAAGAGCATGTTAGCTTCTTTCCACTACAGGTCATAAGTCTCCAAAGGTCGAGCAGGGGTGGAATGATCGAATACAACATTCTTCATTTAAAAAATGCAAACAAACAAAATATATGAGCCGAACTACGGTAACTCTAATTCCTCAAAAAGGATACGTAGGCATTGGGGTATGGCCCAAGCGAGTATAACTTTATTTTCCCTACATTCTTTCTCTTTTCTTTGCATGCATTCTCTCTTAGTTTATAACCCTTAAGCATTAGATTGAACACACCCTTTGATTAGAATAACGAGAGTGGACCCCGTAGATTACTATGGACGCGTGGGGTGCTAATACCTTCCCCTCGCGTAATCGACTCCCTTACCCAATCTCTTAGTCGTAAGACCTTGATTTCCCCCTTTAGATTTTTCTTCGATGATTTTCCTTTCCCTTCTATGGGATAAATAAATACTCGGTGGCGACTTCATTGATTTTACCGCTACAGAAAAATGGCGACTTCACTGGGGACTACATGTCGACCAATTGCTGGTCCATCCCGTGAGTCACTCCTAGCTCCCGTTTTTATTTTCTTAGGGTGTTTATCATTATGCTTTTATGGATTATTCATTTGTACATGTTTGAGCATATGCTTGCATTGCATCTTTATTGTTATTTGTTATATTGTTGTTGTGCTGGTTTCTCTGTCTCTTGATGGGTGGGATGTTACTATGAGGTAAAAGGCCCAATACCCAGGCCAAGTGGAAACCACAGGAACACTAGGAATAAAGTGGAACATGAATGACTAGTTGACTTAGGTTTCACTACGCCGCCATGTCGTCCATGCTCAGATGAGGTACAAATGAGGGGCTATCATTTTCATGTAGGTGATATGGCGATAGTTTTTTCAGGAGTACCCTCGATTCTGAGTTACCATTGACCTTACCATGACCTAGTCTTTACCCGTGAGTGGGGAGGGAATGATCTATACAGGTACATATGGTGACTATACATGTTCCGTTGGTGACTCTGATT